TCTGGCAACATGCACAAGGCCAGATATTGCACACGCTGCTAGCGTGCTCAGCCAATTCAATACACATTACACAGACGAACACTGGCAAGCTGCAAAGAGGGTGTTACGATATTTGAAAGGCACGAGTAAGATGGGCCTCACATATAGAAAGTCAGAAACAGTCTCTACCTATGTTGATGCGGATTGGGCCGGAGACGAAGGTGACCGAAGATCCTATACAGGTTATGTCTTCATGCTTGGAGGTGCAGCAATCAACTGGGAGTCCAAGAAGCAACCGACCGTGGCCTTATCGACGACCGAGGCCGAATATATGGCTTTGGCGGAGGCGGCGAAGGAAGTGGTACAGAAGAAACATTTTCTTTGAACTATTTGGTGAACAAATGACTGTCAAAATATATAGTGATAACCAAAGTGCTATGAAACTCGTGATGAATCCGGTTTTTCAAGGTAGAACAAAGCACATAGGTGTTAAACATCATTTTGTTCGAGAAGTGCATGAACGAAAGATTATAGACTTAGAACATAAGTCAACTGACGATATGTGGGCTGATGTCTTAACCAAGGGTCTTTGCAAACCAAAGCATATGATTTGCATAAGTGGGATGGGTTTGCACTAATTCCTTTTTTTCTTGTTTATAACGAGTAACTCGATTAAGGGAGAGTGTTGAGAATAGATCCATATTCATATTGGTAATCTTGTTACTCTGCCCTTAGTTCTTTTTGTTTTTCTTAAGTTGGTACTATTGTCCTACATGACTAGCCTTTTTTTTCAACCACGCTCTACACGCTGTATGTAAGATGTACTACGAGCGCTACCGCTGTACCGTTTATTTTATAATACACGCATATATATATATTGAGAACGTTGCAAGGCAAGATTAATTTGCGGTTCCCTCACTCTTGAATACGAAGGTAAGCATTCTTCACTGGCCCATCAGTGCTGCGTCGACAAGCACCTCGCGTCACTGATCGGCTTGTTTTGGGAGCAGGAGGAATCCCCTAGGACAGCGATCCCACTCACCGAGGATGAGCAGCGAGCCGAGACACTCTTCGTGCAGACACATTCCAGGACTGAGGACGGGAGGTACGTCGTGCGGCTTCCAGTGTCTACAACACTTCCAGACCTAAGCCACACTCGACGCACAGCGCTGCGTACGCAGCTTGGTATGGAAAGGCGATTTCTAAAGAACGCAGCACTGTACGAGAGGTACGCAGAGTTCATGGAGGAGTACGAAGCACTTGGCCACATGACTCCGGCAGCGCCACTCAGCGATGTTAAGGCATGCTACTTACCTCACCACGGGGTATTCAAACAAACCGACTCAACGAAAAAGATCCGGGTGGTCTTCAACGGGTCATCAAAACTGCCTTCAGGAGAATCCCTGAACGAGTTCCTGCTTCCTGGCCCAAATTTGTTGCCTGCTCTACCGGACGTACTGACGAGGTGGAGACGACATCAGGTCGTGCTGGTCACGGACATAGCCAAAATGTACCGGCAAATTATGGTGCATCCTGACGACCGCAACCTCCAGCGAATCCTGTGGAGGAAAACCCACAACCAGGCACTACAAGAGTACCAACTCAATACAATCACGTACGGGTTGGCATGTGCGCCGTACCTTGCCATCCGGACGCTGCAGCAGCTTGCTGCCGATGAGGAGAGACGGTACCCGCTAGGAGCAGCCGTGCTCCGATCCAGCTGCTACGTGGACGACATCTTGACGGGAGCCGACAGCATCGAGGAGGCTCGCGAGATCCAGGAAGAATTGATCTTTCTGTGCGCAGCGGGTGGCTTTCCACTGAGCAAGTGGGCTGCCAACTCCGAAGCGCTATTGGACGGCATCCCAGTGAGTCACAAGCACCGACAGTGCCCTCCAGCTTGGGGGCAGGACCTGGAGCACTCCACCCTCGGACTGCAGTGGCATCCCCGAGAAGACGCCTTCTCCTTCAGGATGTCGCCTGCAACGACACAACAAATCACTAAGAGAACGGTCTTGTCACAGACAGCTCGACTGTTCGACCCTCTCGGGTGGCTGGCCCCGGTGGTCATCAAGGCAAAAATTCTGATCCAGCAGCTGTGGTTGCAGCGGCTCGACTGGGACGACCAGCTAGCATGCAAGGACGAACGAGAGTGGCTCACTTTCCAAGGAGAACTCCAGACCCTGGGTGACATCCGCGTGCCCCGTTGGCTGAACACCAGCCACACCGACGAAGTCGAGCTGCATGGCTTCGCCGACGCATCAGAGCGGGCATACGCAGCCGCAGTTTATGCCGTGGTGCAGCCTGGCAGGGCGGGCGGCGGACAATTCCTCCTGACGGCCCGAACAAAGGTCGCGCCCATCAGCCAGGTATCACTCCCACGGCTTGAACTTTGCGCTGCAGCTCTCCTGGTCAAGCTGGCGGCGCACACCCATAAAACGGCGGGCCTAGCCATCTCCAGCACCCACTTGTGGTCAGATTCGACAGTGGCCCTCGCCTGGATCCACGGACACTCATCGAAATGGAAGACCTTCGTCGCAAACAGGGTCGCCACCATCCAACGGACGCTCCCCGAGGCTATCTGGCGCCACGTTCCCAGCAAGGACAACCCCGCCGATTGCGCATCGCGAGGACAGGCTCCCACGGCGCTGCTCGCGCACACACTATGGTGGAGGGGCCCGGCCTGGCTGACCGATCGTACTTCCTGGCCAACCCGGACAGAATTCACCGCCTGCGAGGAGGACCTCCCGGATCGACGCACCCTAGTGCATCTCGCCACCGAGGAAGCCGAGGATGACCACATCATGCTTCAGCGAATCTCGTCACTTCATAGGCTGCTCAGAGTGACAGCCTGGTGCCGACGATGGCTCTGTAAAATTAGACAGACAACGTTCGTTTCCGCCAGCGGTGTCTTGACACTGGAAGAACTGGAGGAGGCACGCCTCACCTGGATACGGACGACTCAGGAAGCCCACTTCAAGAGGGAACGGAAGGCTATGGAGAGGGAGAAGCCACTACTCAGATGCAGCCCTCTCACCAAGCTGGCTCCCTTCATCGACGACAAGGGGCTCCTGCGCGTGGGAGGGCGACTCAAACATTCGCTGCTGAGCCCGGACGAGCGACACCCAGTCATCTTGCCAGCAGCCGCACGCTTCACTACCATGCTCATTGATGCGTGTCACAGGGAGACGATGCACGGCGGGATCCAGCTCACGCTGGGAACAATCCGACGGCGATATTGGATCCCAGGCGGTCGAGCAGCCGTCAGGCGACACATCCACCGATGTGTGAGATGCGTGCGATGGCGGGCGGCAACACCGAAAACATTGATGGGCGACCTTTCTGGTCCAAGAGTCACCGCATCGCGGCCATTCACGCACACGGGCGGGGATTACGCTGGACCCGTGCAGCTCCGGACAAGCAAGGGACGTGGTCATCGATCGTGCAAGGCTTTCCTTGCCATTTTTGTGTGTTTCAGTACCAAAGCTGTGCATCTTGAGGTGGTCTCAGACTACAGTGCCGACGCCTTCCTCGCCGCCTTCCGGCGCTTTGTATCTCGCCGTGGCCTCTGCCGGGTTGTCTACAGTGACCAAGGAACCACGTTCGTCGGGGCCGACACTCAGCTCAAGGCCCTCTTCCGAGATGCAGCGAAGAGCAACGATTACATCGCCAATACCCTGGCCAACCATGGAGTCCAGTGGTGCTTCAACCCGCCGGCAGCTCCTCATTTTGGCGGTCTGTGGGAAGCGGCCGTCAAGTCAGTGAAGCATCACCTACGAAGGGTGATAGGCGACTCTACACTCACCTTCGAGGAAATGAGTACAGTGCTGGCACAAATAGAGGCGTGCCTGAATTCACGACCACTACAGGCGCTATCGGACGATCCCGAGGACGTGAACGCACTCACCCCGGGATACTTCTTGATTGGCGCCCCACTCAATGCTGTGCCGGAGCCATCCTTGGTGGAACACGCCCCGAGCCGGCTATCCAGATGGCAATTGCTCCAGCAAATGCGGGACCACTTTTGGCACAGGTGGTCTCACGAGTATCTACACACAATAGCAACGCGAGCCAAATGGTGGAGATCGGACATTGCACCAGGTATAGGGGACTTATGCATTATCAAAGGAGAAAACTCACCCCCAGGGAAATGGCCGTTGGCACGCATCACGGAGATCCATCCTGGAGGCGACGGGGAAGTCCGTGTGGTAACCGCACGAACAACCACCACTTCCCTCAAGCGACCGGTAACCAAAATCGTCCTGCTGCCGTCAAGCGTCACAGCGCAAGAGGGATGACTTCCGAGGCAACCCCTTCACTCGACGGATCGTGCTGCAACAAACTCTACCAAGCGTATCATACATAAGCTCTCTCACCTTCGTCTCATTCAGTTCTGTAATCTCAAGCAAACAAAGCTAACCTCACTTTACGCTCTCACCTCGCACAGAGGAGATTGATTCCAGGCTCGATTCAGGCTGTGTGATTCCCCCAACTTCTCTGTATCTGTCACTCGGGTGTCATCTCGTACTTAACTCACGACCACACACTGCATCTCGTGCACACTGCCACCACTGCCGCGTCCTACTGCACTTTGTATCGTTGCATGACGTACCGATCACTACATTGATTACACCACCAATGAGCAATGAGGCGAGAGCGTAAACCGCAGCGCCGAACGCCACCAATTTCGCTAGTAGCCACTAGCGAGGCGGGCGGCATGTTCAAAGTCTTGAATAATCATATCACCTCATTTGTGATTTCGCTGCAAAATCATAACGGCATCGATATTCATGCGATGTTTATTATTGGCATGGGAATTGACTGAGCGAGATAACGGTCCGGCACTGTTTTGGGTCGTCACCTCCGAGACAACGGCGGATCGCCGGGATCGCTTCGCAGTCGCACTCTTCCATGCCACTAATAGAAACAAAAACAAGGGGAGTCACAGCGATGTGACTCGGGTACAACACAGGAGCTTCGAGAACCGTCTCCAGAAAGGCGGTATAAAACCAGCGCGAGCGCGTGCCTGGCTCAGATCGCTTTCCGTTATCGCAAGTTTCGGAAGTCATCGCGCTTTGTACTTCGCCGTACGTTAAGATACTCGCTTAAGCCGCATCGCGAATATCCGTTGTGAGAGAAAGGGAAAAGCTGTAAATAGTGTATATAGATGTGTTAAAAATATTCTGCATTAAAAAATCACATCGTGTTAGTGAGACCAAACGTGTCGTGTCTAAACCTCCTCCCTCGAGCACTGAACACAAATAATATCAATTGAATCAGTTTTTGACGTGGATGCTTTAGGAAATAAATCAGAATTAGGACGTTTTAATTGGCTATTTTCAGAACTTAGATCAATGCAGTGCTTTGTTCTCAAATGTATTTTTAAACCTTTGTAAGAACCTTTAGTGATTTTTAGCATATTAGAGCACAATGAGCATTTCGCGCAGTTGTCTTTGTTCATTCTTTTAAAATAATGCCATACATTTTTCTCATTGTCCTCACCACTATTCTCCTCATTTTGACTTGGTTTTAAAAGTGACATGTTTTAGAATTTTGAGACTAGTATAGTATCTGCAATGCAATACAAATAGGTAAATTGTTCGAGATTCATTTTTGAATCTCGGTCTGTTCGTCACCGGCGTGATGGCAGCATCAGCCGGGTCGGATCGTGCAGCGTCGCAGGAGCGCTGCGCGCGCATGCCCGATCGCGTCTCGAGGCGAGAGCGCTCCGTCACGTCCGTTACCGGCGCTTTTGGCTCATGGCAACCGTACATCGTACACGCGTCGTGAAGTGCAGAAGATCTTTCTAGTGCTCTTGTGGACTTTCTCATCCGAGAACTGACTCAGTGTGAACATTCAGTGAACGCTTAGCAGTGCGACTCATCCAGGACATTCGATACAGCATCAACGGCAGCTCAAGCTCTCCACGCATCGCACGCCGGCGTAGCGTGGCCACGGCTCACGGGCATCCGCATTCACGAGGCCGGCTCTCGATAAATACTATCGCCCCGTGCAAGTGATTAAGAGACTTCGCATCCCCGTACTGTAATTGACTGCTCGAACTGTAAGCCTTTTACTTATTAAACTGACACGGTATTTTACTCAAACGGCCTGAGTTACAATCACGTGATATTTCACCCTCTCACGCGTGCATCCGTTCCCCGAGCCTCTCACCGCAAAGTCCTCTCAGCCCTGCTTCCACCCGCAGAGGTCCAGCGAGCTCTCCCAAAGGAGAATCGCCAACATTTTTTGGTCCTTCGAGCCGGATTGCGGCGAGGCTCTCGGACGGATTGGCTCAACCACGCAGTGATCACGTGATCTCACGGCCCTTTCGCGTGATCAGTGGCGCGCACATACACGGTTCTACGCATTGTTCACGTGATTTCACGATTCTCTCGCGTGACTCTCATCGCTAATTCTCTCTCTCTCCTCGGCGGCGAGACTTCTCACCCTCTCACGCTCTCTCGCTATGGCGGATGAGACAAAGACTGGCAAGGCGGACCGCCCGAAAACCCCGGCGTTGGAGGTGCCGCCGGGAGACCGCACGTCGGGAAGAACGGTGTCTCCTGCCCGGCTTCCGACGGACCTCGCATTAAAGGTGCAGACCCAGATGGGCTGGATCGCCACGCTCAGGGAGCTCACCGAATCCCTGCCTGATGTCCCAGCCGAGACATCACTCGAGGAGGTCTCCCAGATCCAGCAGCTGGTCGAGGAGACGCACAAGGCATTTATCAAGGAGCACGCCTACTTCGAGATGTCATGGCCTGCGGCACTCACTCAGCATGAGTATTTTGCCGAGAATGCTCACCAGGCCGAGTCGCGATGCTATCTACAGGCGCGACGAGTCATCGGCGTACTTCGCCATGCTTTGGCACCCGCTCAGCCCGCTCAACCGACGACCAGCTCGTCGGCCGGCGAGGCCAGACAGACACTCTCACGTTTGCCGGACATCTCACTCCCCAAATTCACGGGGGAGTATGCCGCATGGCCTGCCTTCAGAGATCTCTTCACCAGCCTGATCATGCAGAACGAGCAGCTCACGAACGTCGAGAGACTCCACTACCTCCGTTCGTCGGTGGAAGGCGCGCCAGCTCAGCTGATCGCAGGATTCATCATGGCAGGAGGCTCGCTCACGCCGTCCTGGGAGCTGCTCAAGGATCGGTACGAGAACAAACGCCTGCTCATCCATGCCTGCCTGGACAAATTATTCGCCAGCTCAACCCCGGTGCCAAGGAAGGCGGCGTCCTTGGATCGACTGGTCTCGGGAGTCAGAGAGGCGCTCAAGGGACTGGAGGCCCTCGAGGTGATGGACAAGCTCGGAGATTGCGCGGTGGTGTATCACGTCACGCGACTCCTGGATCGCGTGACACGAGAGCAGTGGGAGAACGCAGTTGGCGCCACGCAAGACTATCCCACGTTCGAGAAGCTAGAGGAGTTTTTAACGACCAAGAGACGGGCTCTCGAGCGGATAGAAACGACGACGGCTCATCCGGGACCTAGCTTAGCACCCTCACCACCAAAGACGGCTCACCAGACAACCCAGCAGAGCGACTCATCGTACCCGTGCGACTGTTGCAATGCACAGCACTTTATTGTGATGTGCACTAAATTTCGGGAGCTGTCGCCATCAGCCCGGCACAAGGTGGCAATTGACAAGCGCTTGTGCTTCAATTGCCTGGGGAGGTACAGTATGCGCGCATGCAAGTCGCAACGAGGTTGCAAGACCTGCTCAGGGCGGCACCATACAATGCTGCACGGCACAAACCCACTAGCAGCACCAGCCCAGAAGACCGGTGGGTCATCGGCCACGCCCGAACATTGAAAAGCCGGTGCAGTCGTCAAGACCAGCTCAAACGTCCGCTCATCCAACTCAACGCTACTTGCCACAGCCTTGGCATTGGTCAACTCATCTACAACGCATCACTCAGCGCGTCTGCTCATTGACACAGGATCCGAGCTCACCTTCGTCACGGAGAATCTCATCCGGCAGCTCAACATCCCTCGTCACTACTCAGGTATTGTCATCCAGGGAATTGCAGGCAAGGAGTGTACTCGGACTCGAGGAGTCGTGTCACTCACACTACGCTCGAAGCATTCCAGCGCAACTGCCACAGTTCGAGCTCATGTTCTCCGGACAGTTACATCAATCTTGCCATCATTCGAGGCGGAACCAGAAGAATGGCCGCATCTCAGGAACTTGGCATTAGCCGATCCTGATTTTCTCATCCCGCGGCCAGTTGACATCCTCATCGGCGCAGACGCTTACGGGCAAATCATCAAGCCCAACATCATTCGGCATTCTCCACTTATGCCGATAGCGCAGCTCTCCATCTTCGGATGGCTCGTTCTTGGACCAGTCAACAGAGAAGCAACACGCACATCAACGCACCAGGCTTCTACTCAAGTCAACGAGGATGCCCTCAACGAATTATTGACAAAATTTTGGGTTCAAGAGGAGGTGCCTACTCACGATGTCAATCGACTCACCCCTGACGAGCAGAGGTGCGAAGAGCACTTCAAGGCTACACACTCTCGTGACTCATCAGGAAGGTACGTCGTCAGGATTCCACTCAAATCACCAGCAGATCTTCTGGGTGATTCTTACCACGTCGCCCATCAGTGCCTCAAGGGGCTACGCAGACGATTCTCAAGGGATGTGAACTATCAACGGCTCTATCAACAATTCATGATGGATTACGAGACGCTCAACCACATGACGAAGGCATCATCCATCTCCAGTCGTCGCTCACACTTCTACCTGCCACATCACGGTGTTCTCAAGCCTGACAGTACTACAACGAAGCTGCGGGTCGTGTTTAATGGCTCCAGCGCATCCTCGTCGGGCTACTCGGTCAACGACCTCATGTATACGGGAGCGAAATTGCATCTGAACATCTCCGATGTTCTCCTCTGGATACGAAGACATCGTCACAGTTTCGCTACGGACATCACCAAGATGTACAGGCAGATCAACATTCACAAGGATGACTGGGAGTTACAGCGGATACTCTGGATGGATGATCAACTCAATGAAGTGCCATATCATCTGACAACCGTCACCTACGGGACAAAGGCCGCGCCGTTCTTGGCCGTACGGACGCTATTACAACTAGCAGAGGACGAAGGACATAACTATCCACTGGCTGTGCCATCCATCACTCATGGCAGGTATGTCGATGACATATTTGGTGGTGCAGATACAATACAACAATTGCAGGAGGTCGCACATCAACTAAAGGGCCTCTGCATGGCGGGCGGCTTCCCACTGGCAAAATGGCATGCTACTCATCTCGACATACTCAGGACTGTCTCCGACAGCGAGGACTAAGGCTTACCAATCACATTCGACGATTGCGCTACCAAGATACTCGGACTCAAATGGCTCCCTCAAGAAGATACCTTTGCATTTTCAACACGAAGCTCACGCTCGGAAGGCAGACTCACAAAACGCCTCGTCTTATCTGAAGTGGCTCAGATATTCGATCCACTTGGCTTTGCATCACCTGTCGTGATCAAGGCCAAAATTCTCTTGCAGGAGCTGTGGCTGCACAAGCTCCAATGGGATGATCCACTGCCATCCCAGCTCTCAGCCCGGTGGCTCTCCATCAGAGAAGAACTCACAAGTCTGGCCAGACTCTCAATACCTCGGTGGCTCAAAACATGGAGCGACTCGCAAGTGGAACTTCATGGATTCTCTGATGCTTCTCAATTGGCAATGGCTGCAGTCATATACATATCCGTTCACGACTCAAACGGCGCCACGTTCTCACTTGTGTGCTCCAAGACTAAGGTAGCACCCCTCAAGCGGCTCTCAATCCCGCGACTTGAACTCACAGCTGCTCTACTGCTCTCTCGACTCATGCAATACGTCGAAGCCACTTTGAACATGGACGTAACGGCAACCCATATGTGGACGGACTCTCTAGTGACACTTTCGTGGATCAGATCTCATGCATCACGCTGGAAGGATTTTGTCAGGAACAGGGTGGCTCAAATTCAAGAACTCACTCCAGCTGCTCACTGGAGATACATACCTGGAACTTCCAACCCGGCGGATTGCGCATCACGAGGCCTCACGGCCACTCAACTTCAAAACCACGCACTCTGGTGGACGGGACCACCATGGATACTCAACTCAGACTTATGGCCGTCACAACCAGCACTCTCTGAAGAATTGAGTGCAACAGAAGCTCGCCCAGGCGTGTCGCTATTGACGGCTACGCCAAGGACTGAATATCAATGGGAACTCATCTACAGGTACTCAAGCCTCACTAAACTATTGAGGATTACAGCTCTCTGTTTCAGATTCATCTCACGGTTGAGGAAAGTCCACGACTCATTGCCTGCCAGACACATCTCTCCAGAGACCTTGGAGAAGGCGCGGCTCTTCTGGATTCAGGCAACTCAAGCAGCGTATTTCTCGCACGAGCTCAAGGCATTACAGGCAGACTCCCCATTGGCGAAGGCGCACGCATTCAACAGATTGACTGCGTACATCGACGCTCAAGGAGTCATTCGCGTCGGCGGACGACTCGCTCACGCAGCTCTCTCACTCGACGCGATACATCCTGTCATATTGCCTCGTCACTCTCCGCTGTCGTCACTGATCATCGCTCACGCTCATCAACGGACGCTACATGGAGGCACGCAGCTTACGCTGTCGCACATCCGATAACAATACTGGATTCTCGGCGGGAGGGCTCCTGTCAAGTCTCACATTCTGTGGTGTGTCACGTGTGCTCGGCAGAGGGGGATCCGTGCTCATCAATTGATGGGCCAACTACCTCTCTCTCGGGTTACGCAGGCACGACCGTTCACTCACACAGGTGTGGACTACGCAGGGCCGCTCACCGTCAAAACATGGAAGGGAAGAGGTGCCAAAACAACTAAAGGCTGGATTTGCGTCTTTGTCTGCTTCTCAACCTCAGCAGTACACCTCGAGGCGGTCAGTGATTACTCAACGGAGGGATTCATTGCCGCCTATCGACGCTTTTCATCCAGACGCGGCATTGCTCACACCCTACACTCTGACTGCGGCACCAATTTCATCAGCGCGGATGCAGCTCTCAAAAGGCTGTTTATCCAGAGCACGCAAGAACATCAGCGAGTTTCTCACCTGCTCTCGCAAGATAACACCAGATGGGAATTCAATCCCCCAGCGACACCTCACATGGGAGGAAAATGGGAGGCTGTCGTAAAATCCATCAAGTATCATCTTCGGCGCACCATTGGAGAAAGCTTGCTCACCTTTGAGGAGCTTTCCACATTGCTCACTCAAATTGAGGCGATCCTCAACTCTCGAACCATTGAGTGACGACGCAGACGACATCTCAGCACTCACGCCAGGTCACTTCCTAGTAGGAAGTCCGCTCACCGCCGTACCAGAGCCCTCACTCACCGACCTGGCAATCTCAAGACTCTCTCGATGGCAGCTCATCCAGCAGAAGGCTCAACATTTCTGGACACACTGGGCAGCGCATTATCTACAACGACACCAAGCTATCTCTAAGTGGCATCACAGGAACAACGAGATCAAGGTCGGATCATTGGTGCTCATCACCGACGAGCGGCTACCGCCATGCAAATGGCCGTTGGCCCGGGTCACGGCATTGCACCCTGGAAAGGATGGCCTCGTGCGGGTGGTGACTCTGAAGACAACCACTACCACGCTCGTCCGACCAGTGGTCAAGCTCTCCGTCCTGCCAATCTCCTCATACGATCAGGAATCATCAACTACGTTGCTGATGGCGGGCGGAATGTTCGAGATTCATTTTTGAATCTCGGTCTGTTCGTCACCGGCGTGATGGCAGCATCTGCCGGGTCGGATCGTGCAGCGTCGCAGGAGCGCTGCGCGCGCATACCCGATCGCGTCTCGAGGCGAGAGCGCTCCGTCACGTCCGTTACCGGCGCTTTTGGCTCATGGCAACCGTACATCGTACACGCGTCGTGAAGTGCAGAAGATCTTTCTAGTGCTCTTGTGGACTTTCTCATCCGAGAACTGACTCAGTGTGAACATTCAGTGAACGCTTAGCAGTGCGACTCATCCAGGACATTCGATACAGCATCAACGGCAGCTCAAGCTCTCCACGCATCGCACGCCGGCGTAGCGTGGCCACGGCTCACGGGCATCCGCATTCACGAGGCCGGCTCTCGATAAATACTATCGCCCCGTGCAAGTGATTAAGAGACTTCGCATCCCCGTACTGTAATTGACTGCTCGAACTGTAAGCCTTTTACTTATTAAACTGACACGGTATTTTACTCAAACGGCCTGAGTTACAATCACGTGATATTTCACCCTCTCACGCGTGCATCCGTTCCCCGAGCCTCTCACCGCAAAGTCCTCTCAGCCCTGCTTCCACCCGCAGAGGTCCAGCGAGCTCTCCCAAAGGAGAATCGCCAACATAAATACTTACTCATAAATGCAACATAAACATAATTCACCTATCAATTGAACAATAATAACATCCATCTACTTACATTTATTTAATGAAGCAGCGACAAAAACACAACACACATTTGTTAGCTCGAGCGAGTCAAATGACAATTGATAGCCGGCAAACGCGGCTCGTGTCGCATGGCGCGGCCGGGTGGAGCAGGCGCGGACTGGTAGCGGGGAGCGGGTGGGTCGAGCGGCGTCGAGCGCGACTGATGCCAGCCGA